GTTGACACTTCCCTACCCTCGTTTAAACCGGCACCCCCACCTCTCTCTCTCGCTAGAGGTGTATTGTGCCCGACTCTTCCAACGCTGGCCAGACGTCTTGGAAAGCGGAGGGATATACCCCGCACTTTACCCCCACCACGTCAAGTAAACGGTGCGGCCCCGCTTATGCTGCTGCGTGGACAGAGGCAAGTGGCAGGGGAAACTGCCGCGCCGGGAAATCGAACTGGTGACCTCGGCACTGCGATACCGGCGTGCTGACCACTGCACCGCAGCCTGGGCAACCAATGAGCTGCTGGCCCACAAGGACATCATGCAATATTCATGATTTCATTAAGAATTTATATTTGTCACCTATCCCGCTTCTCTTTGTCTCCATCTGCACGTCCCACTGTCGTTGTGTCTCGATGCCTCCATCCCTCCCCTCCCCAACCACCCCCATCTCAATGGTCGAGACTAACACCGGAGCGGCAGCCAGGGCGTGGAACGCGTCCGAGAGGGCGACCACTGCCGAGGAGATGGAGCGCGACGGCAGCATCAGTTCGTGTGCCCGGGGTGCTGGGGTGGTGGATCGTTGCATCGCAAGATTCTTGGAAGAGATGGCGGGGGAATCGGATTGACACTGCTCCGCACATCGGCATCGTCGACGTCGTCGTTGCTGTTGCTGCTGCTGTTGTTGCTGTTGTTGCTGTTGTTGTTGTTGCTGCTGCTGCTGCTGTTGTTGTTGTTGTTGCTGTTGTTGTTGCTGCTGCTGTTGTTGTTGTTGCTGCTGCTGCTGCTGTTGTTGCTGCTGCTGCTGTTGTTGTTGTTGCTGCTGTTGTTGTTGTTGCTGCTGTTGTTGTTGTTGTTGCTGCTGCTGCTGTTGTTGCTGCTGTTGTTGCTGCTGTTGCTGCGAGTGTTCCGTGCGTACCGGTCCTGTCCGTGGCATGCTCCCTGTGGCGCATTCCTCATGAGCGCGCACTCACGGAGCATGCCCGTGTCACATTCACTCATCGCTCGTGGATAATTGCACGAGCAGGGGGGTGGGGGAGGGGTTATGTCTGGTAAGGAATTGACAGAAGTCGTGACCGTGTAGCCAGGCATTGGCGTGGCAGGGTAAACACGCGGCTGTGGGGCAGGAGGACACGGGGAAGAAGAACATGACCACGTTCACAGATTAAGTGTTTCTAGTGATGAAGATGAGCGGACTGCACGTCACAACAACCCACTCACCCACCCACTCAACCACCCACTCACTCACCCACCCACTCAACCACCCACCCACTCAACCACCCACCCACTCACTCAACCACCCACTCACCACACTGCACGTCACAACAACTCACCCACCCACTCACTCACCACCACACTGCCAACCACCCACTCACCACACTGCACGTCACAACAACTCACCCACCCACTCACTCAACCAACCACCACACTGCAGGTCACAACAACAACTCACCCACTCACTCAACCACCCACCCACTCACCCACCCACTCACTCAACCACCCACTCACCACACTGCACGTCACAACAACTCACCCACCCACTCACTCAACCAACCACCACACTGCAGGTCACAACAACAACTCACCCACTCACTCAACCACCCATCACTCACCCACCCACTCACTCAACCACCCACTACTGCAGGTCACAACAACTCACTCAGCCACTCACTCAACCACCCACTCACTCACCCACCCACTCAACCACCCACCCACTCAACCACCCACCCACTCACTCAACCACCCACTCACCACACTGCACGTCACAACAACTCACCCACCCACTCACTCAACCAACCACCACACTGCACGTCACAACAACTCACCCATCCACTCACTCAACCACCCACCCACTCACCCACCCACTCACTCAACCACCCACCCACTCACCCACCCACCCATCACTCACCCACCCACTCACCACACTGCACGTCACCTCACTTCTCTTTCTGTTTCTTCTCTCGAACTGCTCCAAGTTTGGAATTCCCTTCTCCCATCACCATCATCGTCTCTTTTCTCAAGCTCACCCAATACCACCACCACCACTCCTACCATCACCACCATCAACCACCACCACCACCCCTACCATCACCACCATCAACCACCATCATTATCACCACCACCGTCATTATCACCAAATACCAATATTCGCCACTAAGTGACGGTGACGTCACAATGGTGCCTGTGGCAGGCCGGGTATATTTTGAGGCCACGTGATGTGTCGAAGGCTCGCTGACAGGTCACGGGACAGACCCAGATACCATGGGTTTACTGACTGTGATGACTGGCAGATACACCATCTGTGCCCCCTACAGCGCCAACGTCCTGTATTTTAGCGCCCGGCGCTCTGCTCGTTGTTGTGAGCGTCGCTCCTCCGCCCTCCGTTGTTGTTGGAGGGCCACTGCCTCCAACTGCCCAGTGGCAGCGTCCTTCACGAACCTCCTCCGTAGAGGCCGATCTTGACACTGCTGGTACCAGTCATCGGCAAGCCATTACCACCACCACTACCACCATTATCACCACCATCATTATCACCACCACCATGATCACTACAACCACCAACATCGTCATCTATCCCACCAGAGACGTGACGAGACGGAGCTCACGAGTGAAGACGCTGCTGAGACCATCTCGCCGTGCTACTGGAGGCAGCAGTGGCATGAGCGTGCAATTTGCAGGGCTGCACCTGTACCTTGACAACACACACACACATCGATACACACACACACGCATCGATATACACACACACATCGACATACACACACACATCTACATACACACATCGATATACACACACATCGATAGACACACACATCGATATACACACAACAACCGCCATTCATCACTAAGTGGCGGTGACGTCACCACGATGCTTGTGCCAGGCCATGTGCACCTTGAGGCCATGTGAAGTGTTGAACGCCCGCTGGCAGGAGGTCACGGGGCAGACCCAGGTGCCACGGGTCGACTGACTGAGATGACTGAGATGAGTGGCTGATGCACCATCTGTGCCCCCTACTGTGCCAATCTGATGTGCTTTAGCCACCCGGCGCTCCGCTCGTTGTTGTGAGCGTCGCTCCTCCGCCCTCCGTTGTTGTTGGAGGGCGACTGCGTCTAACTGCCCAATAGCGTCCTTCACGAGCCTCCTCCACAGAGGCCGATCTTGACACCGCTGGTACCAGTCGTCGGCAAGTCCACTCAGCTCCACGTCCTCCTGTACCACATCACTCCATCTCTTCTCTAGCCGGTGCCGCGCCCGTTTAGCCCCCTCGATCCGGCCGAACAAAAGCTGTTTCGGCATGCGATATACACACACACATCTACATACACACATCGATATACACACACATCGATATACACACACATCGATACACACACACATCTACATACACGCACATCGATACACACACATCTACATACACACACATCGATATACACACACACATCGATACACACACACACATCTACATACACACACATCGATATACACACACATCGATATACACACAAATATCTACATACACACACATCGATATACACACATAGTCACACACACCCACAGCATTCTTGTATTTAGTAACATGACATATTTATCGCTGTTGTCATCACGATCCTCTCTCGACGTACGGACCAGGTCGTGACTGTTTCTGGCCCCGCTCAGCCCCCGCCACTCGTACGAGGCAGCGAGGGGAACATTCCCAGCTGTGCGTGAGGTCGCCTGTCGTGTTGGTCGGAGCTTAGAGAAAACTCGACGCACAGGTTTGCTGGCATTTCTCGGGAGACTGTGGCGGCGAGGGGAGGGGGGATCAAGTGGCTGTGTGTGTGTGTGCCAGTTTGGGGAGTGTGTGCAGACGCAGCGTGTATGTTATTGTGAATGCGTGTGTACTATGTACGGGGAGCGGTGGTGTAGCGGTTAGCGCTACGCTGCGCTACGAACCCGGAGCCTAGAGCTCGATTCCCGCTCACGGCCATCACTGTCAGTGACGATTATCTGAACCGGTCCTGGGCCTCCCCTAGGTCGACCCAGTAGCGGTTTGTTATAATCATCGCCATGAGGGAGACAAAGGCGGCTGGGCGTGGTGATCGCCACCCACCCCCTCGTGTGCCGTGCCGGCCTTCATAGGTGCTACTCGCTAACAGCACTTGTCCGAAAAGTCTGGTAATCCTATACGGGGGGGTCTTTGCCTTTGTGTGTACGTCTGTGTACGTTGTGGGGAGCGGTAGTGTAGCGGTTAGCGCGCTGCGCTACGAACCCGGGTCGCCGCTCACGGCCAACGCCAGTGGCGATTATAATCTGAACCGGTCCTGGGTCTCGCTTCGGTCGACTCCGCTTCAAATGAGAACCTGGTGCGGTGTTTCAGTTTCACGTATGAGGAGGTATAACCCTGTGAGCCATGCGGCTCTTGACTCGGGTGCAACCGCAACAAAACATGAAGAATAAACATCTTAAAGTGACTACACGCAACAGAAAAATCCTGGAAAAAACAGCAAAGTCTTCCAGAAAAAAAACACCGTATTTCAACGCTGTGTGCAAAAATCCCAGTGGGATGCAAGTCAAACAATAACAATTATAAGACAGATTAATCATTGCAGTCACGAAAGCTTTAAATCGAAATTTAAAGACAATGTAGATTAAAGTTATCAGGCTAACTCTGTATTACAACAAACAAACACGGCTAAACCAAAACCTTTTTAAAAATCACCAAAATAAAGCTATAAAAACAACGATGTGGAATAAACATCGCCACTGGGGAGACAAAGACGGCCGGGCGTGGTACTGACCACCCACTCGCAGCGCTTGACCCTAACGTGGTCTCTCGAGTCGTTGGTATCGTCGTACGTGTGATTGCTGTCACTTCGTGTTCACGTGGGCGTGTTCACGTGGGCGTGTTCACGTGGGCGTGTTCACGTGGGCGTGTTCACGTGGGCGTGTTCACGTGGGCGTGTTCACGTGGGCGTGTTCACGTGGGCGTGTTCACGTGGGCGTGTTCACGTGGGCGTGTTCACGTGGGCGTGTTCACGTGGGCGTGTTCACGCCGCCGGGGGCCTCTTCACCGCCGTCACGCCCGTGTGTATACACGTGTATACACACGGGCGTGACCACGCAGCCCGTCTCGTGTATAACACTGCCTTGCTGTCATTATCTCTCTCACTCTCTCTCCCCGAGACAAAGAGATCACCCCGTCTCGACCGACAGCCTCTCTCGCTCACCCACAGCCGCGCGCACCCCACCACGCACGCCCTAGCGACGCGGTGACATTCAGGGACTCCCCCCTACACCCCCCCCCCCCCCCCCACCGATCGACATGTGGAGCGCTACCACCGAATCGGAGGAGTGGTTCAAGAGGTTCCTCTCGGCCAACCGCATCTACCACGAGCAGCGCGTGGCCGAGCTGCGTGCGGCCGAGGACCTGGTGTTCCTGGTGAGGTTCGCCGCCTTCCCTGTCGCTCTTCTATCGCTGCTGCTGTGAGGATTCAATGTTGACGGCGGGGCAGCTACGCCAGGCGCTCGCTGGGTTCACTCGCTCGCGCTGGCGGTCGGTCGCCCCCTTGTCACTCTTCTGTCGCTACTGCCACGGTGAACCTTGATCGTTGATTCGCTCAACCAGGACTCGGTCAGTGTCCGGTCTACAGACCGAGCGGGTAAGGTCAGGACCGCAGAGCTTGAACAATTGTTAGTGGCACCACGCTCACCACCGCGTGACTGCTGCTGCTGCCCCTCGTCTGTTCTCATACTCCTCCTGGCCCCCAGAGTCGTCCTCTCTCTCTCTGAGTCGCCCTCTCTGAGTAGTCATCTCACTCTGAGTCGTCCTCTCTCTCTGAGTCGTCCTCTGTCTGAGTCGTCCTCTATTTCTGAGTCATCCCCTCTCTCTCTCTCTGAGTCGTCCTCTGTCTCTGAGTCGTGCCCTCTCTCCGAGTCCTTTCTCTGAGTGGTCCTCTCTCTGAGTCGTCCCCTCTCTCTCTGAGTCGTCCTCTGTCTCTGAGTCGTGCCCTCTCTCTGAGTCGTCCTCTGAGTCGTCCTCTGTCTCTCTGTATGAGAGCGAGCGATACAGTGCGGCAACAGCGGCGTTACAAGTTGGGATTATCATTATTCATGAAAAATGTTCACAAATGTGTTTTCACAAGTTTGACAGCTGTTGCTTGGAGCTACCAGCTAACGATCCTCAATACAAAGAGCGAGGGAGGAACGCTGTAAATGTTATTGAGGCCTGACTTCTTCCAATCTCCTACTCCGTTCCGTATGTCTGTACGTTGAACTTCTTTCGCACCGTACGTATCCAACCGCGCGAATCGGAGATGCGGAGGAAGGACAGCAAACTAACGCACAGCAACAAACAGTGCTAAATTAATTAGTTCGTCAATCTGGATTTAAAAGTGCACAGCTCCCAGTGACTTTTTAATATCGGAAGGAAGAGCGTTCCAGACGGCCACAGAAGCGCACCTAAAAGCGCCGTGCGATGCATTGGCCGTCTTTGTTAGATGGCCAGCAGCCAAAAAACGCTGCGAGGATGAGCGGAGTCCGAGTGATAGTTTAAGCTCCTTGACAATATCAGCGAGGTATTGTGGTTCTTTTGTGGCAATCGCTTTGTGTGTAATGGGTACGACCTTACAGCAATGTATTCGTTGAGCAACCGCAAACCAATGCAGCTCGGCGAACACTGGGCGGACAACGGGCGGATCTCGCAGTCCCAGTCACGACACGAGCCAGGTCATTGTGGACACGCTGCAGCTTGCTCGTGTTTTTGTGCCAGACGCCCGGTAGAGTAGCGAGTTGCAATAATGGAGCCTTGTCGATGCTACGTCATGACTCAATAGTGGCCGGACGTGTCTTAGAGGCGCCGACATGAACATGGCAAGCATTGTCACGTGGTGATCGAACGATATATTGCTGCTAGAGTATGCTGCCGAGGCTCTTTGGTTTAGCAGAGAACGGAATCCTGGAGCCTGCGACCACCACGCCCGACCCTGCCACGGCCTGTCATCGACACCGGCGTAGCCACACTCTGCCCCGCCGCACACGACCAGCAGCCAGGCGGTGGGCTCGCGGCGGCACAGCCGTGCAACTTTCTCGGCGGCAACAAGCTTCGGGTTCATTGACCGTCAAAGACCACTGCAGCATTACGCGCCGCTTGCTTGACAGGAGGACGTTAAAGACCCCTTGACGTCATTCGCAAGAGCATGCCGTTGTGTGCCGGCGTCACGGGTCCACTTTTGAAAATGTACTCCGCAAATGACTCAAATTTGGGATCTCACGCACACAGCAGCAGTCATTGCCCTCCTACTGGCAGCAGTAGGCCGGTGCCGCAGTGTCTAGGAGATGTTAACTACCTCGCCTGGTATACAGGAGGTCGTGGGTTCGATCCCCACCCTGACGTCTGTTGGATGTGTGGAGTTTGTGTGTTTCTCTCTCTCTCTCTCACCTTAATAAACACGCGTTTAGAGTGCCTGGCTGCTCTACATTTCCACACGATGGTAAGCTACTCCGTTGAGCTATCAATTGTGATAGCCAGGTCGCTTATGAAAAAGAGCCATATAACTCAGTGAGCCTTATCTGTTTTCAGCCGGTTCAACAAAATAATCTTAAAACATGTTTACATCTTAAAACATGTTTACACTGCTGGGTAGACAGAGGCGGTTGGTGGGCGATTTGAGAAACGTCTTTCAACTGCCGCGCCTGGAGATCGAAGCGGCCAAATCGAACCGACGATTATGTGGATCGCGAGTCGAGCGTTGTAGCCTTCGAACCAACATGCTGGAGGCTTTATTACAAAATCTTCGCCATGGCAACCGTTACTCAATGAGCATCACGTGACTCGATGAGCAATGCACCTGGAATTGAGTACATTGCACCACCGAAGGAATGAATCACAACTCCGCGTGAGCCTCCACTGCTTTAGTCACACGGGAAGGTCACGGCTATCGCATTCATCTTGTTTACTACACAAGACGGGGGTGGCGGGGAGTGCTGAGCCTCATTCCTGGCTACGCTTAATTGTGATTATCATTTTAGGATTATATTTATTTGCAACTTCGGGAAGACAACGAAGTGCAACAACAACAAAAGGTTGGACGTAGAAGAAGACAAGCCAACGATGCAGCCGGTGATGAGAAATAAACTGGCACTATTTGGACACGTCTGTAGGATGTTTTTAAAAAACGCGTTGTTGTTCGTGAAAATGGAAGGAACAGGAGAGAGAGGAAGACCAAACAGAGAATGGCTTGACGATGACATTAGAGATTGGTGCCAGAAAGATGTGGCCACTACTTGAGCCACATTGGCACTACAAGACAGAGAGGAGAGTGTAAACAATTGACGAGATATGGAGTGGACACCTACGGGGCTATCAGCCCATGGATCGCCATGACGATGATGGTGATGACACAGCAGCGATGGCCGCAGACCACTGTTGCAAACACGTCTCTCTATCGCGGTCTCTCAAGTGCTCACCTTGAGCTTAACCCGCGATGCTTGCACTGTGCCCAGGTGCTGGAGCAGGTGACGGAGTGGGACCCGCGCTTCCTCGTCAACTACCGGCGCCCGCACGCCAAGTTCGAGTCCGGGGTCCGCGCCGCGCCCACGCACACCACGATCCGCGTGCCGCTCGCGATCGAGCCGCACTCCATCTCCGTGGAGTGGACGTGCCCGGCGGAGGATCGCTACGTGACGGAGCTGCACTGGCTGCACGCCGAGCCCTCCGGAAAGTCGCAGTGCTACGTGGCGTTGGATGGCGGCGGCAGCGGCGGCGCGGAGAACGGCGTTGTGGGACAGGCCCGCTGGGCGAGCTGCCAGGAGGCCGTGAGGAGGGTGAGCTCCGGGTCGACTCACCTGCTGCCCGGCATGGTTATCGACATCCTCAAGTCGAACGTGAGGAAGGCCATCATGCTTCTGCAGCAGGACGGCAAACTCGCGAACGGTGAGCGGCGAGTGGGCCCTGGCGCTGGCCATGCCGCAAGTGAAGCGGTGCGCAGGCAATGATGCAACTCGTTAGGAATGAGTTGGTAGCATCGTTAGAAGCCAACTGATTCGGAATGAGTTGGCCATTGTGCGCCAAGTAAAACAATGTTTACTCAATTGGGATTTGACACAGCAGCAATCATCGGCACTTGCAGGGCCAGGTGCAGAGTCGCCGTCGTGCCGCACGGGGGCAGCTGCCACTGGGCTAATCGCCTGATGAAGCTGCTGCTGAAGTGGTATAGAATCGGCACGTTTTGTTTACGCGACGAGCATTACGAATTGTCCGCGTGGAGCGATGGCGGGTTTAACGAGGCATTTATATTTACGCGATCTAACCCCGAAAAATGTAAAACCCTTTCGTTATCGCGCAGCGCCTACACCGACACTAACCACGCGTGCTCCCCAGGCGCCGTGGACGCGTCTCTGCTGAACCTGGACGGGCCCTCGCTGTGCCTGCTCGTGCGGAGCGGCATTCGCACCATCACCGTGACCCTCGTGCCCGTGATCCACCGCGCCGCGCGCCTCTGGAGCGGCGGCGGCGGCCCGGAGGAGGAGGAGGCACCGTGGCCGGCCCTGGGCCCCGATAGTTGGCTTCCCCGGGCCACCGTGGAGGAGATACGCAGCACGCCGCAGGACGTGGAGGCCCACGCGTACTACCACTGGAGGTTCGTGGGTGCGCAGCCACGAGGGGTGGCCACCTATACAGTTGTTGTCATTCGGACAGTTGGCACCCACTGATTTCACTCATCTAATCACATGCTCACTCACTCATCCACTTACCCACTCACTCATCCACCCACGCACTCTCCCACTCACTCTCTCACTCACTCAGCTACTCACTCAACTACTCACTCACCTATTCACTCAACCACTGACTCACCCACTCACTCACCAACTCACCCACTCACTCACCCACTCACTCACGAACTCACTCGCCCACTCACCCACCAACCAGGATTGCCACCGGTCCAGGAATTGGCATTTGCGTTCGGCTGCCACCAGGAGTTGATTTTGTGCCGAGATCTGGTACCGGTCTCGTGTTGAACTTTCTTGAATTCAACAGCGCAGTGTTGATGACAAACCTCGTGTTCGATCTGCAGTGCCAACGGTGGCAACCCCCAGCAGCCACGGTGGTGGCTGTCGTGAGCGTCAACACAGCGCCAGCGTGTGAGTTAAATGCGGTTAGGGCGTCAATGGAGCCAGAGCTGTTTGGGGCTGAGCACCAGAAACACAACCGCCGTGGCCACCACTCGAACCGGCAAATCTCTCTGGCCGGGATCAATTGCGCCTTGTGCCACACAGGGACAGCTGCCACTCGGGGGTCCCCTCGCCTGGAGTGCCACGGCGCAGTGAGACTATCAAGCGGTGACGATGATGACGAGTCGTTGTTTTACCTCCTCTTACTGCTTCTGCTGATGCGCTGCTGCTGATACTACTGCTGCTATTACAACTGCCACTCCTACTACTGTTGCTACGACTGCTGCTACTACTTCTGCTACTATTACTGCTGCTACTACTGCTACTACTACTGCCATATTTCTGCTACGACTACTACTGCTGTTGCTGCTACTGCTGCTACTACTGCTGCTACTACTACCACTGCTGCTACTACTTCTGCCATATTTCTGCTGCTACTACTGCTGCTACTGCTGCTGCTCCTACTACTGCTGCTGCGCTGCTGCTGCTACTACTGCTGCTGCTACTGCTGCTACTGCTGCTGCGCTACTGCTGCTACTACTGCTGTTACTGCTGCTGCGCTGCTGCTGCTGCTACTACTACTACTGCCACTCCTACGACTGCTACGACTGCTGCTACTGCTGCTGCTCCTACTGCTGCTACTGCTGCACAGCCCCGATTTCAGCGAGACGATCTGCAAGATGCTGGAGGGGGTGGACGACGACGGGGGCCATCGGCTGGACGCCCTCGCCATCCTCGACCTCGTCAACCGCAACCACTGGCGCCGCAAGGACGCGGGAGGCAGACTGCTCACCTACACCCACCTGGAGGTGAGCGCGCCGCCCCCTCCGCACTCACCACGTGTGTGAGTGAGTGCGCGCCGGCTGCCTGCCGAGACACACCTCGTGGTGGTGGTGTTGTGGTTGTTGTAGTTGTTGTAGTTGGTGGTTGCTTGTTGTGGTTGTTGTTGTAGTTGGTGGTTGTTGCAGTTGTTGGTTGTGTGGGGCTCCATATCCGACTCGTCCGGAGGGGGGGCCGGGTCGCCCGACCGCGAGCCCCGGCGTTCCGGGCTCCATCCTCGTGGGACAATCTCGACCCCACGCTGCCCTCCTCGTCCGGTGTGGGGCGGCGAGCTCGTTTTGTGTCACGAGTCACGGGTCACGGGTCATGTGTCACGGGTCACGGGTCACGGGTAACGGGTCATGGGTCACGGGTCACAGGTAACGTGTCACGGGTAACGGGTCACGGGTCACGGGTCACGGGTCACGGGTAATGGGTAACGGGTCACGTGTCACGGGTAACGGGTAACGGGTCATGGGTCACGGGTTACGGGTAACGGGTAACGGGTCACGGGTCACGTGTCACGGGTAACGGGTCACGGGTCACGGGTCACGTGTCACGGGTTACGGGTCACGGGTCACGGGTCACGGGTAACGGGTCACGGGTCACGTGTCACGGGTAACGGGTAACGGGTCATGGGTCACGGGTCACGGGCATCCTGGCGCTGCGCTCGCTACGGGAGGTTCACTGCTCTTCCGTCGCCCTTGGCGCGGCTCGTCGGGTTAATTCCCCGGCGGTGCACCCACGAACACCGACGCGCAACGGCGGATACCTCGCGCAGAGACTCGGCAATAAAATCGTGACCAGTAATGCCGTGGTGCGGTGCGAGCCGCGCGACCACCGGCACCAAGGCTCGGCACGAAGGCGCGGCAGACAACGCCGACGCTCGGCGCGGGACGCGCCACAACCGCGGCTCGTTAAAGCGCCTCCCCTGCGTGGGCCCCTCGCTCGCTCCTCGCTCTCGTGTGCCACCGCTGCGCGCGCCACCCCAGGGCCACACCGCGCGTGCCAATTGGGCCAACTCTGGGCGTTATGCTGCGCCGCCCCCTTCCGACTATTCTCACACACACTTACGCACACAACAACAACCGCCATTCGCCACTAAGTGGCGGTGACGTCACCACGACGCTTGTGCCAGGACATGTGCACCTTGAGGCCACGTGGAGTGTCGAACGCCCGCTGGCAGGAGGTCACGGGGCAGACCCAGGTGCCACGGGTCGACTGACTGAGATGACTGGCTGATGCACCACCTGTGCCCCCTACTGTGCCAACCTGATGTGCTTTAGCCACCCGGCGCTCCGCTCGTTGTTGTGAGCGTCGCTCCTCTGCCCTCCGTTGTTGTTGGAGGGCGACTGCCTCCAACTGCCCAGTAGCGTCCTTCACGAGCCTCCTCCACAGAGGCCGAACTTGACACCGCGGGTACCAGTCATCGGCAAGTCCACTCAGCTCCACGTCCTTCTGTACCACATCACTCCATCTCTTCTCTAGCCCGTGCCGTGCCCGTTTAGCCCCCTCGATCCTGCCGAACAGAAGCTGTTTCGGCATGTGGTGGCTGGGCATGCGGGCTACATGACCCAGCCATCGCAGCCTTGCCCGCCGGAGGAGCTCACCGATGGGACCTTGCCCAGACCTTTCAAGGATTTGTGAGCTCCTCACACAATCCAGTCTGGTTAAACCCAGGATGGATCGTAGGCAGGCCAGCCTAAATGTTTCTAACCGGCGAAGATGTTCCATTAGGGGGGTCCACGTTTCGCAAGCGCACACATGCACACACACACACACGCACACACTCACACACACTCACACACACACGCACACACACACACACGCACACTCGCAATCCACGACTTACACCTAAGCCGGTGACACCACGCCGTATACCGTCTCGCTGATGCCTTCATTGAATGCCTTTGATTTTTAGTGAAAACAAATCCCTTCAATGTTAACACGTACTCGGCTTTCGCGACCAATATCATCCATAATAGAGGGGTTTTTGGGGGTGTTAGATCGCGTAAATATATAAATGTGTCGTTAAAACCCGCCATCATCCGACACAGCCAACTAGTAAGGGTTGTCACGTAAACAGAACGTGACCAATTCGTCACGAGTGTAGCACACCGCTTGTGTGTTGGAGTAAGCCGTCCAGTAAGTGGGTACGAGCCGAGAGTGCATTGTGAGTGAAGCCTCGTCAGAGGCTGCCTACCCACACAGTCGACCCAAGCGTCCATCCCCCGTAGCTGCAGGTCCACTGGCGTCGCGCGGACGCTCCAAGCGGCGACGTGGGAAGCGGGGCGACGAGGTGCCCCCCCCCACCTCGTTCCCCTGAACCTCGCCTTTCATTTACAACCTCGAAGCACCTGGGTCACGCAGTGCCTCGCGGACATTCGTGCGCCTACCTGTGGCCATACCCCCGGGGGCCTTTTCCTTGCGGGCCGCGGTTGCCCTTTGATCTGCCCCCCCCGAACTCTGGCCTGGCCTGACGGTGGACTCGGGGAGAGCACGACTCGTCGCAGCTGACGCAGTAAGAAAAATGCGTGTTTTGTTGTTTTCGTTGTTTTTGTTGTTGTTGTTGATGTGCCCCCACGACTATGACGCCAACTCAGAGGGGCCGCTGTGCCAAATTCCCGGCGTGGGGAAACCGCTGGGGCGGTCCTCGGAGGGAATCCTCGGAGTGAAAGTGGCCCGCCAGACTGGGCGCTCGCAATGAGGACGCGACGTGTGTGTGTGTCGGTGTGCTCCATCGTGGGGGGCGGGGGGGGGGGCTGGGGTGGGGGGCGGTTGGTTGTTGTAGTTGTTGGTTGTTGTTGGTTGTTGTTGTGGTTATTGTAGTTGGTGCTTGTTGTTGTAGTTGTTGTAGTTGTTGTTGGTTGTTGTTGGTTGTTGTTGTGGTTATTGTAGTTGGTGCTTGTTGTTGTAGTTGTTGGTTGTTGTAGGTGTTGGTTGTTGTTGGTTGTTGTTGTGGTTATTGTAGTTGGTGCTTGTTGTTGTAGTTGTTGGTTGTTGTAGTTGTTGGTTGTTGTTGGTTGTTGTTGTGGTTATTGTAGTTGGTGATTGTTGTTGTTATTGTTGGTTGTTGTAGTTGTTGGTTGTTGTTGTGGTTATTGTAGTTGGTGATTGTTGTTGTAATTGTTGGTGATTGTTGTTGTAATTGTTGGTTGTTGTAGTTGTTGGTTGTTGTTGTTGTTGTTGTGGTTATTGTAGTTGGTGATTGTTGTTGTAATTGTTGGTTGTTGTTGTTGTTGTGGTTATTGTAGTTGGTGATTGTTGTTGTAATTGTTGGTTGTTGTAGTTGTTGTTGGTTTTCGTTGGTTGTTGTTGTGGTTATTGTAGTTGGTGCTTGTTGTTGTAGTTGTTGGTTGTTGTAGTTGTTGGTTGTTGTTGTGGTTATGGTAGTTGGTGCTTGTTGTTGTAGTTGGTGCTTGTTGTTGAAGTTGTTGGTTGTTGTTGTGGTTATTGTAGTTGGTGCTTGTTGTTGTAGTTGGTGCTTGTTGTTGAAGTTGTTGGTTGTTGTTGGTTGTTGTTGTGGTTATTGTAGTTGGTGCTTGTTGTTGGTTGTTGTCGTTGTTGGTTGTTGTTGTCATTGTCGTGAGTTGTTGCTTATTGTTGTTTTTTGTTGTAGCTGCAGTCGGTTGTTATTATGATTGTTGCTGTTGATTATCGACGGGCATTTTCCCGTCGACGTTGCGTAGACGGTGCTGCTGTGGGCGCTCGACTTCTTCCCGTCGCCAGACGACTGGCTGGACCTGCACTCCTCCGTCTACCGCCTGCTGCTCCTGCTGCTGCGCTGCGTGTGGCTGCGTCGCCTGCCCCACTACTTCCTGCCGGACCGCAACCTCTTCGGCGATGGCGGGCGAACCCCCGAGCCCCCTCCGCCCCCAGCGCCACCTTCATCCTCGTCGCCGGCGCCGTCCTCTCCGCCGTCCTCCTCCTCCTCCGCCTGCTCCTTCTCCTCGTCCTCCGCCGCGTCGCCCGCGGCCGCCGCCTCGCTCGAGTTCCGCCAACTCTACGGCCGCGTCGAGGACTTTGCCGACCTCCCCGAGCGCTGCCTCGTGGTGCATCCCACGCAGATCCCCCCGCGGGACGGACACCGCGTCGACGCCTTCCTGCAGCTGCTCGTCCAGCTGCCCGACCCGCAGGGGCAGTACTGGCAGCAGGGATACTTCGACGTGATGCTCAACCTGGTGCGTGTGGCCGTACGCCTTTCCCGTGCCCCCCCCCCCCCCCTGCTTTGTTGAGCTTTGTTTGGAGGGAAGTTTCGTTTGGGTGAGATCCACCTCCGATCAGCACGGTCGGCTACGTACGGTGCGAAAGAGGTTCGACATACATGCGCGCGCGCACACGTACGGATCGTCGTGGTGCAGTGTCGTCCACTACTGGACATGCGTGAGAAAGAGCTTCGTAGCTCATCTGATTCCCCCAGCATAAATAAATATTCTGATTCTGTCCAGTGGCAGCGTTTAACCAGAAGCCTCCAACACCCGGCGATAGAGGCAGTCTAATCCAGCTGTCCTCGTCACACTGATGTAAATGTGCCCCCAATTGCTTTTTGGTTGATCAGCAAAACTGGAGGAGGAGGTAGACCAGATGTCGAATAGCAAGTGACATTTGTATTTTTTACCACAACAACTGTAAGTTGTCATTGTTGTTATTATTATCATCAGAATTTTTTGGATTTTTATCTTCACTTGTGAGTGTAGCTGTTATTTTTTACGTGAATCACAGCGCTTTGAGATACGCCTATTCCGATATGTCAGAGCGTGGCTTGCGTCCGTGCACTCCCGAGTGTCAAGAGTTTCTGCGCTCGTGTTTCTGTTCCCACGCCTCAGTTGCAGGTGTACCACATCAACGACAAGAAGCGGGTGGCCGCCATGCAGGAGATGTGGAAGCAGGCGACGGCGTTGCTGGGCGAGGAGGGCTGGACGGTGTAGGGGCGAGCGGTGCGAGAGGGACACGTGGACGAGTCATCGTCGTCGTCATGGGAAGCAGCAGAAGGAGGAGGAGCAGGAGGAGGAATATCTCAGAGGTCCAGAAGTGGGAGGGGGGATGGAGGGCTCCAGGTGATTGCATTGAGTTGAGTGGTGCATTATCCATCTTATTATCGGGTTTTTTTGTTATCGTGGTAAGCACGCTAGGCCGGTACAACGCGCCGATGGTTTCCGGGGAGGGGGGACAGAAATATTATTATTGTTACTATTATTTGGAAGCTGACAAAAAACAGGGTTGTTAATGTCCTGGGAAGACGGACAGATCTCCCCAGAGAGCAAGCTGCCTCCTCAACAAGACGGCGATCCTGGGAAAACCAGGACAGGTAGCGACCAGAATGGGGGGGGGATCTGTCTGAGGCTTTGAGTGCAGGCAGCCTCTAGTGGCGTGGCTAACGAGTATGAGGACCCACAGTGTTAGGAAGAGCTTCGGGGTGAGCTCACCGTTCCGATTAATCTCTTGCTGTGTAAACCTACCCCATTTCTGGGAAGCTCAACGGGGCCAACCGGTTGAGCTTGCAGCCTGAATCACCTTCAGCCCCGCCTACTTTTACATAGTCACGCCCACTCAACCACTATCACAGCCCCGCCCACTACTTCGATAGCCCCGCCCACTACTCGGGTAGCTCCGGCGACTGCTCAGGTAGTCTCGCCTTGTACCATGAGATGAGAACAATTTGACACGAGGGGACAAAATCTTGACTTTCACAAACGCTTCTGGGAGTCACAGGGACAGACATTGTGTCGTGGACAAACCGGGACATTGGGTAGCTGCGGAGACAAATATTCAGGAGTTGCGTAGGGCCGTCCATCAATGGCATCGCGCACCGGGGGGGGGAGGGGTCAGACATTTATGACGAGGGGGGGGGGGGGTTGAGAAATGTGGAAATGTGACGTCACAACAACACGTTCTACTTAATTAAATATACTTTTTTAATAAATGTTTTCTCCTGCAACATCAGAGTGCAGCACCACATTAAATACGCACTACAATGACAATAGTTTAAAGCGATTTGAAGCATGTTTTATTTTTTTCGGGGGGGGGGGGGGGCAGAGCTTTGTGACGTCATATTTGAGGGGCGGTCTGACTTTTTGTGACGCCGTATGACGAAGGGGGGGGGGTCAAAAATCATCCAAAATCGCGTGACGTCATTTATGGACGGCCCCGTATCATCAGAATACAGTAGAACCCAGTACAGTGCACGGGACATGTCGGTATTGAGTGTCCCAAGAGAGAGAGAAAAAAAATCGTCACATTTAATTTTGTCCCGCACTTATTTCGGCTAAATTCCAGCTCTGAGAATTAAAATATCGGTTTGGCTGCCACGCTACGACAATCACTCTCACGCGGCAGAGCGAGCGGGCAGCGTGCCGCCCTCTGCTGTTCACGTGGACCGGAGTGTAACTTGAAGAGACCTCAGGTGTGGCTCCGTGATATCCTCTTCCATGTGACCTGCCGATCGACGGACTGCGGCGCGCCCCACTGGTGGCTAGACGGAGGCGGTGGGGTGGATTTGAGAAACTTTCCACCCTCGCGCAAACTTGCACAGTGCAGGCGCCACGGCCACGGCAGCAGCCGCCACCTTAGGGACGGCGTTCAGACGCAGATCGCCGTCATGGTTTATAGCCCTCGGTCAATCCGCTGCTAGATGAAGACCTCCCTCGAGCCGCGTCGCTCACGGGAGTCGTTTGACCACACTTCGCCACGCCGGTCGGTGCGGGTTGATCGAATTCAATGCGGCGACTTGTTTGAGTCACACGTTCGGCGCGCAAACCGTTCCGTCACAGCAGCTCCAGTCGTAAAAACAAAACAAAATCACAGCTTACTACGACAACACTTCCCTCCTGGCTCTCGTCATGGGCTGCTGGCAAAATTATGCAAACGCATGCAAAGCCACAGCTGTTTATTGACCTAACCTTTAGCAGCAGCAGCAGCAGCAACAAAAAAACCTCCCAAATTGAGTCGAGATTTATTTCCCTTGACGGCATTTGACATGGCAGATACCGAGCGGTGACCGATGGCGTTATCGGTGGAGCAAACCACTGCCACAAATGTCACGGCGGTTCTTCCTGCCGCGCTGACGCCCGGTTCGGCCGAAGTTGGTGACTCCCGAGTTATCATTTACAGAGTCTTCAAATGAGAATATAAATAACGAGACAGACGAGCGGACAATGTATACGTCTCCGTCGTGCAATCCATGTCTCCGCGTGAAACATCAAAGTCCTTCCTTAGCCATGCCATCACCGGCACGCACGGCCTTCCTTCTGGGAGGGCATCATTTCAGCAGCATGGATTCGAGACGAGCAACGCGCTGGACCAGTTTCAACAAACTGCGTTCTCATCGGCAGATTCAGCCTTGCTTGACTCGACGCCGGTGAGCTGCCGATGTGTTGGGCAAGGACCCCCCCCCCCTCTACGACGCGGGGTCCAGTCGGCACGCGAGTTTCTTCTATTGGGTCGTGAGCGCTCTCTAAACTTCCACGGGCTGCCCTCGACTAGGCTAAGAATGCATCGGACGCAAACCAAACATGGTGACCTTGTGAACACTGGTCACCGTTCACTTGGTCAGCACTATTTAACGAATTATTAAAATCCACGGAATATAACTTTGTTTGCCTATACTGCATTGGCAGGCGTGCACGAGCACAATGAACAAAAATAAAAGTGTCAGAAGTGAATCGTCACCGACGACAACCGTGACCCTGATAGGGAGAGACGTGCGAGGGGTGACGCTTCTCGGGATGCCTCTCGTGCTGTGAAGAAGAATTCAACATTCACACCTGGAGAATGCGACAGATCAAAGAATGAGACAGAGCAGACGAGACTGAGATTGCAAACGAAACAATACAAACGAGAGAGACAATACAAACGAGACAATAGAAACGAGACAATATAAACGAGACAATAGAAACGAGACAGACAAAAGAAACGAGACAATAGAAACGAGACAGACAATATAAAAGAGACGGTATGATTGAGACAAACAATAATTTATAATGGGCACGATATATAAGCGGTAAATGTCAATATTAACGCGCACGCGCGCACACAAAGTATTCTCTATTTACTAATATCTATGCAGTGTTGGTGGAAGGGTGGCTGCTCTTAAATACGATATTTAAGCCTGCATTGTTAACCTGCAAAGGTCTCCGTGATCTGACGAATGTCACCATCAGGACCACGTCACCGCCGAGAACGTCTGCAGTGGAGTGGCAGTGGTGTGGCAGTGGTGAGGTTGTGGTGAGGTTGTGGTGTGGCAGTAGTGAGGTTGTGGTGTGGTTGTGTGGTGGCGTGGTGGAGTGCGACTTTACAACATCGCTCGCCGCCTGTGTGCTCGGGTTGTGGGCTCGCCTCCGCGTTGCTCGCGACGCTGTCCGACGTTTTAGCTCCCACGCGCCTGGGAGCCTCTTCTGGGAGCTGAATTTGTAACTCAGGATTGCAATTGTTTATTGACATACTGTATTGCCATGCGATAGAGCGGAAGGCGTCCCAGAGAGAGAGGGTACGTCCGCCGGAGGGAGATGGAGCCAATTCATGGATGGATTTTTCTGTTGCATTGCCGGATCTTGAGAGGTGGCAGTGGTTGTTTTTTGTAGTCGTTCATCCATCAGTGGATAGATCATGGCTGATTGATAATGATACAGAAAGTGTACAAACTGGATATAATTCCGTTCATGAAATCAACTCCGGGGTGCCGGTTGAAACGTGCCCAGCCAGCATGTAAGTCACGTGTGTACAAAACAAGCACACGTGGGGGGGGGGAGTGACAAAAACGTCGGACAACGTGCACGAACGACCGCGAAAGTCCACGCGGCGGCGGTGCTGATCGTGTAGTGATGCGTCCGGGAACTTTGACCTTCGAACAGAGGTCGGGTCAATGGAACAGCTGATGCTGGCCGCGAGCCCTCGGCCATTTAGAATCATCGCAGCTGATCAACGGGGCGTGTTTTTTTTATTATAAGGAGTGACTTTGCAACAAACTCAAATAATATTTGTAATTTTTTGCCGCATGTGTATTTATTATTCAGCTATTTTGTATTGCTTAAGTGCCGGCATTTATATATTTTTTTATTAAACATCAGTGTGTCGTGTTTTTGTGGCTGTTATGATAAGTGTGCCATCGGTGGCGTAGTAACTACATTATCGGCTTAGGGAGGAGGGGGTGCGTGCGGAAATTTGGTCAGGTGGGGCCCCAATATTGCTGCAAATATCTCTCATGGTGTTGTCTAGGGGGCCCCAGCTTGTAGCTTTGGCCACAGAGAGGGAGGTGGGGGGGGCTAAGGCACCCCCCTTGCCTGCCTCGCGCTCATCACGCCACTGCGTGGCACCGTGGCACCGTGACGGAAACAAAACGGGAACAATAGCCTTTGTCTCTTAGACAATGCCTTCGACTGCCCCTTGTCTGTGATCCATACCGCGCGGTCCGCATTAAAGGAAGAGGGCGGCACAATCGTTGGATGCTTCGAGTTTGACCGTGTGGGTGTATGGATGTGTGGGTCTGTGGATGTCTGGATGTCTGGGTGACTGGGTGTGTGGGTGGGTGTGTGTGGGTGTGTGGATGTGTGGATGTGTGGGTGTGTGGATGTTTGGGTGTGTGGATGTGTGGGTGTGTGGATGTGTGGATGTCTGGGTGTGTGGGTGTATGGATATGTGGGTGTGCAGTGTGATAGATATGTGGGGAGCGGTAGTGTAACGGTTAGCGCGCTGCACTACGACGATTATCTGAACTGGTCCTGGACCTCCCCTAGGTCGACTCGGCCTCATGAGTTCCTGATACGGTGGGTAAACATCGCCACCAGGGAGACAAAGGCGGCCGGGCGTGGTGCTGGCCACCCACTCCCTCGTGTGCCGTGCCTGCCTACATAGATGCTCGCGAACAGCACTTGCCCCAACAGTCTGTAACGGCTATACGGGAGATATTTGTACTTTTGTGTGTAGGTGTGCCGGTATGTGTGGGTGTGTGATCGATATGCTTCCATGATTGTGTTCATATTCGTGTGGGTGTTGTGTGTGTGTGAGTGCTGTGTGTTGGGGAGCGGTGGTGGCAGTCGTTAGCGCTGCACTGCGCTACGAGTCTGGACGACCCGAGTTCCATTCCCGCTCAGGGCCACCCAGACCAGTGACGATTGTCTGAGCCGGTGCTGGGCCTCCTCTAGGTCGACTCAGCCTTGAGTGAGTACTTCGGTGCGGTATGTAAAAACATCAGCTCGGGGGAGACAAAGGCGGCCGGGCGTAGTGTTTACCACCGACCCGCTCGTGTGGCCCGGTGGCTTGCATACATGGTTGCTCGCTAACAGCACTTGCCCGGTAATTATGTGTAGGCTACCCGGGGGATCTTTGTCTTTTTGTGACCAGATTTTGTAAAACTTTATTGACACCGGGCACAAGTTTTTTTTTTGGGGGGGGGA